TCGGCATACCGTCTTTCCCGATCATGCCGAACTGGCACATACAACTTGTTGTCTCGAAAAACTCTTGACGCAGCTCCAGGATTTCATCTTGAACCCAGCTTGCTGCTGTCGCCGGATTCTCTGCCAGAGCGTGTCCTCCTCGACGACGTTGGTCTTTGAAGAGGTCTTTCACCAGCTGAAGGAAGGGGCGGTCCCGTTCACGTTGCTCTGCAAGGTCTTCTGGCTTGTTCGTGTTGGACTGCAGGATGCTCCACACGGTGCACGGGAACTCAATGACGGTCAGTCTTGGTCGCCACTGCTCCAGCTGTCGTCTCAACCAGCGTCGGGCTTGTCGAGCACGTAGGTCGATCCCATAGCGGATGTCGATAGGTTGAAGAACTTTGAGACCCCAAGCTTTCACAGCTCGTATGCTGATCATAGAAGATCCTCCAAACACCTCTATCAAGTCATAGTGAAAGTGCTTCTTAGGCCATGACGATGACGCGGCTCTCTGTGCCACGATCTCTCTGGCCGCCTTGGAGGTCTGCAGCGCGCGTCTCGCACTGTGCTTCAACCGCTTCTTGATGCCCTGTTTCAACTTCAGAGCGTCTCGTCGTCCTCCTCCATGCCCACCTGTTCCCAATCCGACCGGCTCGTGTTGTGGAAGTCCATCGGGTAGCCAGCGTTCTGCGATGTCCTTGAACTCCTCCTCGAAGAACTGGCTGTAGTCGGTGGTGCATGTCGTCGGCTCGGCTGAGAAGATGCTGAGCGTGAGGAGAGCGAGTAGCATTCGGCCCAGCTGTCCGACAATCCCTGTAGGCTTCGGAAATGTGGTTGAACTTTTCCTCCGGGACGATCTCGAACTCCGTGGGTGATCGCGTAGACGGGCACAGTCACCTTCGAGATGGGCACCATGTAGTTCTGGTCCAGGGCCTTCTTGACCAGTCCGCATTGAATGCACTCCATGAATCTCCCCTTGGCATTGCCCATCCTTCTTGCCGACTCCACGTCGTGGGGGCACGTCTCCGGGTCCTCTGGGTACGGCAGCTGCAAGGTCTTGGCTGTCTGTCCCTGAGCTCTGGTCGTCGAAGGTGGCAACGTCGCGGGGATCATTTGGTCCTGATCCAAAGTAAGGGCCTCCATGTACCCCGTGAGAGCTGGAGCCCGGTGCTTCATCTCGCGGATCACCTTGTTGAGGTTGAGAAACTTTCGCACCGCCATCATCATGATATCGAGGCGCATGACCATGCGACTCCATGCCTGCAGTCTGTCCTGCTGGCTGAGTCTTGGAGCTCTGCGGCTTCTTGTAGATCTCATTCGTCACCTCGCCAAGATCGTGAGCTCTTGAACCGAATTGCTCGGCGGGGATCTCAAACTGAAGCCGCTTGCGGGGCTCTGCATGTTCAAAAATAGGAACAGTGTCAGATCCGATGTCATACTGAATGATCTTCTTGTGATTTTGCAAAGGGGTCAAACTTTGGGGATCAACCTCTCTGAAAAAACTCTCACCTTTCTCATCCAAAAACCTTGCACCAACCCCGCTGGAGACTGCGGAAGTTGGGATCTTGTGACTGTTCTGAATGAAGTGCTTTTCAAAACCTTTCAAAAAGAAACATGTCTGTCCTGTCCAACATGTGAGATGTTCTGGGCATTCTGCACGTGAGGTCCACATGTCCCAGATGTCGGGTCCACCGTTGACTTTTGTCAACCTCTCAGGCTGCAAAGTCTGGGGTTGGGGCCCGCCATCCAACTCGGTCGGCTGGTAGAAGCCGCATCGTGGCCTCCGATGGTGTCGAATGACGATACCCAGGTTGGTCAGGAACTCCCAGTAGTCAGTCTCTACAGTACAAGGTCCCCTGGGTGGTGATGTTTTGGATTTCTGGTTGAAGGTGTCGTCATTGGGCTCATACATATAATTGGGAGTGTCGACACAGAAGCCGAATGGAGCACTGCCTTTTGTCCTCTTGTGCGGCGGAGATGCCGGTTGCATGTCGCTTTTCGTCGACACGGTGAAAATGGCACCTGGGTACTCATCAACAGAGGCCGTGAGACCGGCCGGCCATCCGCCCGGCGGGTAGTTGTCGATCTCGATCACCAGGTGTCCCGAGTAGTCGACGAAGAGCGGGACCTCCTTGTCAATCTTGGGGAGCTTCATGACGTTGTTCCCAAGGTCAATCACGGCTCCCATCATGAGCAGCCAATCTTGTCCAGCCAGGAAGGGGATCCGGTTTGCAGCCCCTTCTTCTTCTTGGATCAGCGAAGTCTTGATGATCGCTGGAGTCTGAGCGATCCCGACTGGGATTGACAGCCTGGTAGTAGAGGTCTTAGGATCTCCTGGCCCAAAGCAATATTGTTCTCGTTCAGGATGTTGAAGTGGCATCAGGTTGAAGGACTTGAGGTGGTCCAGGTAGCCGTCGATGTAGTGCGAGCCCACCACAGTGTTCTCGCAGGCGGTGTCAATGGTGAGGTAGTACTTGCCCTCCATGACCGTCGGCTGGCGTCTCATCGACATGATGGAACGCATGGCATTCCTGACCACATTGGCCTTCCTCAGGGAGTCGACATTCGGCCCAGATGACCCATCCCTCAGCAAGGACCACACGGAGCCCACATCCTCGAAGTCACGGCGTGGTAGTTCCGAACGACGAGAACGAACAGCATGTAGTGCGTCCCCTTCTGAGGAAGATGTCGGCTTGGTCGTGGTCAAGATCTTTCGGACCTTCCCAAGCGTCCCGTGACGATCCACGAAATCGTCGCTGAAGAGCGTCTCCTTCTTGTCCTGAACGTTGATCTTGTCCCCGACGTCGTCCTCGATGTTGGTCTTCTGCACGTCGTAGATCTGCTTGGAAGTCGAAGGCGTTGAAGACGAAGTAGAACCATGGTCCTTCTCCTTGGGCGTGAAGACGTCGAAAGCCTTCTTCTGCAGACGCTGCAATGGTGGCGGCATAGTCTGAGCCGCTGTCGGAGGCATAGGCCTTGCTGTCACATTGCTGGACCGGGCATCAACTCCAAACGAAGCTTCCCATCGGTCCCACGCATCTGCATCCCATTCATCTGCCGGCCACTCCTGACCGTCGTAGTCCCACGCTTCTTCATCTTCTGCAGGTTCATGGCCAATGACATTGGAGCGTCGCGGACATTCGTCCTTCCAATGTCCCGTCTGTCCGCACTCTGCGCAGGCGGTTTTGGCCTTCAGCTCGTCCAAAGACATACCCCTGGCTTTGCCACTGCTCTTCGACTTGCCTTTCCCTTTGGCCTTGCCCTTATCGCCACCTTTCTTACCACGTCCCTTGCCCTTGCCTTTGACGTAGTATCCACGAGCCTGCACAGCCCTTGCGAGCTTCTGACGATTCTCGCGATGGGTGTTGAAGCAGGTCGTCAGCTCTTGGGCAAGTCCATCTGGCAACCACACATCGTTGTAGGCCTCCCGCACGGTCTGCTCTGCAAGGGCCTCCATGACGTCGTTGTCGTAGATCCAATCCGACCAAGTGACTTGTTGGTCTTGGAGGTCGGGCATGCTCCAATCTGCCATCCACTGATCTGACGTGTGCTGTACTTCGTGTGCACCGCGACTGCGATGACCACCCTTGCCAGCACTGCCACCACCAGGGTTGCGCACCACAACATTGGGGTACAAGACCTCGACAGCGGTCTTGAGCTTCTTCCAGTCATACTGCCCATTTGTGCGGAGCAGCAGATTTGCCTGTCGCTCGGTCGAGGCCCCAGAATGCTGGAAGTAGAAGTGAATCATCACAGCGTCTGGAATCTCCAACCCAGCATCGCGGCACTGTCTTGCAGCTCTGTCCAGGTGCTCGGCAATGTCGCGCATGTTGAGCGTCTTGTCGCCGGCAATCTGGAGCTGGAAGAAGTTCTTCATGGCCGTGCCAACCTTATTCATGGGCGGCTCGTCGTACTTGTCCCGCAAGACCTTCAGCAAAACCTTCCATCCGTCGGGCTCGCCGAAGACCTTCGCCGGAACGTCCTCGAGGAAGTCGGCTGCTTCTCCTTCGAGTGCTGCATGTAGACGAAGCCCAATCTCGCCCTGGTCGATGATCTTCTCGGCGATGGCCACATAGGAGTCCACCTTATTGGCGTACTTCTTGAAGCACCGTGGATCACGTTTGCGATCACCGTCGAACGTTGGGGCAGTCGGCAAGTTGCCTCTTGGTCGTTTCTGAGACTGCGAAGTGCTCGAATCACCGCCACTTCGTCGTGCGTCTCTGTCATGTGAGCTCGTATCACCGTCACCTTGTCCACCACGAGGTTCACGTCCACGTGATAGTGCTCCATCAGGTGAAGGTCGCCCTGCACTGGATCTGCCGGCTGATCTCGAGGGGGAAGGTCTTCCTCCACTAGATTGGCCGGAGGACCTGGGTCCATTTCGTCCAGCGCGAGACCGGGACGCTGGAGTGCCAGGTGAGTAGCCATCAGTCGCCTCACCGGCTTCTCGTTGTTCCTCAGCCTGCCCAATGCGGGGTTCTTCCGCAGGCAGCTCATCTTGCGAGTTCTCCAGTTCTGACTCACCATCTTCGAGCCAGTCGGCTATGTCCTCAAGGTCGGGCTCGAGCTCTTCACTGTCGGTCATCAGCGGCGCGACCAACGAAGGGATCTATGGCGCACGCTACCAATGCAAAGTTGTCACTTCAATGTGACACCCAAAGGGCTAGTGGAGCCTGGTTCCCAAGGCTTATCAAATGCTAAAAAGGGGTTCACACCTATTGGCTACCGCAGCGATGCACAGCTGCTTTTTCCTCAATGCTCAAGGGCCCTTACAGCCGCAGGTGCAAATGGTTATGGAATGCATACAAACTTGCAAACTTCACCCAAAGGACTATGAATGATTCCTGAATCTGTGCCAGTCGAAATGCATCCATTGGACAAAACTGCATCACAATCTCTCTCTATACGCCGGAGCACTTCTCATTGTGGTCGAATGAAAAATTCAATGGGCAGCCAGAGTTGCATGAGGAAGTTATGTGTTAAATTATGTTAAATTCACCAAGCAATTTGATTGTGAGCCCTTAGCAATGGACCATTCCTTGCTTGTTCCTTGATAGGATCGGCGATGACACCTGAGAGATGGGAATATCCGTTGCTCCACTCTACAGTAATTAATGTTGTAAAAACAATGGTAAATCATCCCGGCTTATCATAATTGGATGGCACCCTGAAAATATGGCCGGGTTATTATTGCTTCACTAATGCTAATACATTAGATATATATATATTATAATTATATATTATGTATATATATATATCTATTCATATCATCAGATATCTACATATTTATAACTCCAAACATCTACTGGTTGGTGGTTTGAACCCTCTGAAAAATATGAAAGTCAGTTGGGATGTTATTCCATTCCCAATATATGGAAAGTCATAATCCATTCCATGGTTCCAGTCACCACCAACCAGTCGTCACATCATATTCATGTATCATGTATCCATGTTCCAAAACATCAATATGATGATACATGAATACATGAATTATCTGGTGGATTATATGATATATGGTGTTCCAAAACATCTACAATATCTACATCAGAAAGTTATCTTTGAATCCACCAATCCACCAATCCACCAATTCCGTGGACAATCCATGCACCCCTCCGCACGATCCAGGTCACTGCTGCGATCCTCTGGGACCCATCGGGAGGGCTGAGAAAAGGACGTCCTGACCAAGCCACAACCATGATGAACCATGGTTACCCTCTGGTGAACTAACATAGCTATTGAAAATGACCATTGATAGTGGATTTTCCCATTAAAAATGGCCATTTTCCATTGCTATGTTAGTTCACCAGAGGGTAACTACCAAAGGTTGGAACATGTTGGTAACCATTTTATGGCACCAACAGGGTCAAAATTTGTTTGACCCACAACCATGTTAGGGTCTGTCCTAAAATTCAGCGGAAAACCCCAGCTCTCTTGCTGGTTGAAACATGTTTTTTCAACATGTTGTTCCGCTATGAAATGGCCGTTTTGAAGGGTATGCGCCATATGCGCCATTTTCACACACAGCCATGTTGTAATCTCAGGAAGAATCGAGGGGCTGGTTTTGGTAAGCAAGAAAAAACTATATACACGTTGCTTTCTGAATGAAGGAAACCTGCTACTAATCAACCAAACCAATCAGTGGCAAAAGGACATCATAGGACATTTAATTTATGGTTTCAAATCGGGCCCCTAAACAATACCACGAATCAGCCATCATGGTTTTTGGTGTTTCATAGATTCGTTGGCCTTGATTTCCACTGGATGTAAACAAATTGAAGCCTTGCATGTGGCAGTTTCTTCTTTTTAGGAAATGAGTATGGGTCGAAATTGGGCGTAGAGCACCCGCGACAGCAATTACTAGTTTGATGATTAGTTAATGGAATACCAAAAGCATGACCAATTACTGCAAGCCCTTGCTGTTAAGATCTTGACCCATTCACATGTTGTTCGGGAACCACTTATTGAATTTCATGGGTTTTTCAAACATTGAAAAAAAAACACATTGCAGAATTGAATGGTGTAAATTTTAGTATATTTTAGTCCTGGATTTTCCAACCGGTTGGATTTCTATAGAGGACCGGTCACGCCGTGTCCGGCGCCCTGTCCGACCTCTGGTCCTGACGATCCCCTCGTGGATCCCACTCGTCGCGTTGCTTTCGATCCCGGCCTTGAGCCTGGCAAACCACCCTGGCGTATTACATGGATTAAAAAAGGCAAGAAATGCAAGGGGGATCAAACCAAATGTGGAATCCAACATCAACTCATTATAAATCAGTAATAATGTTCTAGTTTCAGGGGCTGTGTTGGTCAGTTATCCATCACTCTCCGACTTCAAGGATCATACCAAATCCTAGTAAGGTCGCCCAAAAGAATGCGCCAATCCAAGATATCTTCTCTGTGAGGACAGACAGGGTCAACATTTTTGGACCTGAAAGTTGGATAGCTTGGGTCAACCGATCAACCCCGTTCGCACATGGTTGGCTGGTGAATCACAACTCGGATGTCTTGGGCTATATCATATAGTTACTCACCATCTGCGATCCATATACATCAATTTTCGAAGTTCAGATATTTATCCCAGTACCCTTGCTAACCTTGGATATGACTCCACGTATTGCAAAAAAAATGACCAAGATGACCAAGTAGCACTAGCCACTATTCACCAAGTTTCAAAGGAGGTACCTGGATACATCCCATGGTCTCCAATACATCGTGACTGGATCACAACCCATCAATCACACTGGGACACCGAAATAACACTGGCTGCCAGCGGCAGGCTGAGACACCCCACCGGACCCCAGGCACGCGGTGGACTGCAGGTGTCCTGAAAAGCGAAGCAAAAAAAACGCGATTTCGCACACCCTGGGGCCGTGTCAAAGATCCATCCATGCCCTATCATTAAACTATACTATGCTATAAGCATTTTGAAATTGAAAAATGAACGCATGATTGCTTTTTGGAGCTGGTAGTGGGGATACGTCACATCTGCAAGTCTTTACTATTGGCCTGATTCCTTTCCGCTAGTAAAAAGTCTCAATAACTATATAGACATATATAGACTATATATATATATATATTCAATGATTTCAACCATCCCAATCCCAGAAAAGTAAAAAGCAATCATGGGTTAAAGCAAGCCTTCCCGGAAGAGGGGTCAATGAAATTGAAGATCTGCTCGACTCGACTGCTCAAATTTCATCCTTTCCTGCAGAAACATCAAACAAGTAGTTACCCTAGGGGAAACTAACATAGATGTGGAAAACCCATGGTCTCCCCAGGAAAATAATCTACAAATGGTTGATTTTCCACATCTATGTTAGTTTACCCTAGGGTACAACGGCAGAAAAGTCGCCAAACGTCCTATTTTTCACTAGCCTGAAATCATTCATGACCCCCAATTCGCACAATAAAAATCTGAGCGCAAAGACTGCAAATGCGGCTGGGGACAGTTACCCCAATCTCCCAGCGGGACGGCCAGCTGTGGTCCTCACACCGCTTCAGGCAACTAAAGGCCTCCGCTAGGAGGCCCCGGTCCATCCCCGACGGGTCGCCATGGGGAACGTTTACATCATTTCCTATGAGACTACCGGTATGATATTCACTTTAAGGCTATTTTGTAGGATACCGGCACGGTGCAGGGTTGTGGCGAAGCCACTTTCAATTCACTTTTTGAGTCTTGATATGATTCTGGAATGATTTGTAGATGGTTGTTTTGATACGTTTGATACGTGAAATCAACGTCTCGAAAATCTGAAAGAAATTGGATTGAAATCTAACATTTTTTGTTTGGTAGATATTGATACGTCCATCCTTTGCAAAATCTCTGAAATCTCTACAGGATGGGGGGGGGGCCAAGATAGCCAATGAGGTTGCCTTATAAGTGGCTTAACTATGGTTTATGGTAAATATATATATATATAACGAACTAGTTAATGGATATATAATGAGGTTTATAAACCAACAAACATAACTGGCTGGCACCATCCTGTAAAGATTGCGATGTTTCTTTCAGGCCATCAGTGGCCTCAACATTTCACGTGATGCTTTCCGTATTTGGGGGTTTCTGAAGTCATGGAGGATCCCCAGTCGTCACCATGGGTGAACCAACATGACAATAGTCATCCAAGATGACTAAATGGTTTGGGGCATTAACCATGACAAAACGGACATACATCGCTAATCTTTGATACCCAGCACACATTTGAATCTAAATGGTTAGCTGGTAAATGTAGATAATCTCCATAGATATTCCATATGATACTCCTATAACTCAAAAGATTAAAGGATGCTATATTTAACATGATTCAACATGATATATAACCCATTCAGTTGGTGGAACGGACACACAAAAAAAATCTTCGCCTGGTCCGTGAGCTTGTTCAGTGGTCCATGGCTCCACTGCTTCCTCCTAGGGATTCAGCGGCGTTCGTGGCCGATGCGGGATGCCATGGTGGGACCCATTCGTTGACGACGAAAAGACCATGGAAAGATGGTGATTTTTCACCAAGAAAAATGAGATGTGAATGGGATTTATAGCTGATTTATGATAGCCTTAAGTTGGTGGTCGTTGAAAAAACTCCAAATCATTTCACCATGATAAAAAAAGGTGCTTATAACTCTAGTATTCATGGGGTTTATTTTAAGCAACGTTCACACAACTGGGGGGCCCACATTGTACAATCCTTTAGAAGACTTTAAACCTCCTGGACAACAACAAGCTACGCAGCTACTCCGATCCCTGATGTCAGATCCCTGATGGATGGTGAAGGGCAAGGGTGTCGAAGGGCCGAAGCTATCCGAATTGATTCTTAACTCCCTATCATTTGTATCTGATTTCAACTGTCTATGGGTGTATGCATACTGCGTATATGTATATATATATATATATACAGATACATACACATAGGATGTATTCTGTATAGGCATAATACATTGTAATGACACTATTCCCAAACCACAAATAAGACCATGAATTGGGGTGGTTTACCCACCATCTGTGATACGAGTAGGTCGGCCATGCTTCGGTCGCAAAACATCACTGTACTTCGGATAGTTTGTCGTACTAAGTGCACTATTCAACCACGGTTTGACCACAATTTCAAGCGACACTTCACCCCAAAAATGAAACACTGATGAAAAACATTTAAGATCATTGATCATCTGAGATATCAGACATCCAAGAATATCTAAGATCACTATGATCATCTAAGTGACTTTTGAACAGTTCAACCTCCTTCAAATACTGAGATTTTTAGTCATTGAAATCCCCGACGGAGCCTGTCCTCACGACCGCGCCGTGCAGGGTGCAGGCCAAGTACACTGCTCGACAGTAAAGCTTCTGGTGCGATCCAGCCCCTTAGAGCGACCAGAAGAATTTTGGACTTGTCAAAGGCTTTGGTACCCTAGGGTAAATGTTGACATAGATGTGGTTAAAACCCATGGTTTCCGAAAACAAGTTGCAAAGAACCCATTTTCCACGTCGAACTGTTCGTCTACCCTAGGTCCCTAGGTTGCCAGCAAATAATGGGAACACCTAAGCTACAGCTGAGTTACGGTTCTGGCTGCTGGTTACGTGGGATCATCGTCTCAAAAAACTCAAAGATTTTCTGAAGAAATATGGGGGGGTTCCATAAATGGAGGATCCCCAAGCTCGCTTGATGAAAAAAAAATCACGGAACATGTCACGGAAAATCCCTACCCTCAATGGATGAAATGGGCTACCCCATGACTTACTTAGGAAACCCCAATGGATGTTGAAACTTAACACCATGATGAATCCCAATGGTTCCATCTATCGAAATCCTCCGCTGATTCTTTCTACAAGATCAAGTAGAATATTGATACGTGGTGCTTTCACATTTTCCCTCAAATGTTCTTCACACTTCAGTTGAAGAATTCCCTATATTAGTTCAATCGGAGAAAAACGTAAAGAAAAACGTGGTGGTCAAATCTGATTCTTGAGGGTCATTCCACTCCTTTCTAAGATATATCCATCCACATCGAAGCCGCATCGCAGCGCGAAATTCTCAAATAACTAGGGAGATTATATCCTAATCCACTGATGGCTTCAAGTTTTTCATAAACCAAGCATGAACCAACGATTCACCAACGATCGTTTCATTTAAAATGCACACAAAGAATGCTTTTGGTGGTTATGATATCCCTTTTGTTGATGGATTTAATCCATGCTGGTGGGTGAATTCACATGTTCTATGGCCAAATGTATCAATTACATTCAATTGCACCATCTGAAGATCAGCGAATCCACCGATGCCTACAACCAAAACAACACACTCATTGACTCATAAATAATAATCATGCGTATCTATCACAATAATTATGAGTATGTTTCACAATCATGAGTATTGATTGTGAAACATGTTATTAGTATGTTTCACAAAACTCAAGCGGCTTTAGCGGGTATCATTCTCATGACCAATCGCCAATCGACCAATCTTTCATACTCTGCATTCTGGCTAGGCTGGCGAAACTCATATATCTCGCCTTCATGGCAAAGGATACCTACGTCAATTCAACTTTCAACTATAGTCCTCTTCAGTCATTTTACCATACTTTACCTACATCTTTGACGATTGCCTGATTACCTCAGTACTATATTGGTGAATCCTTACCCCAGTTCTTGTCAAAAAAATCCTCGCTTCGACCTAATATCCCAATCCTGGCCCATGTATGGTGCATTGACATTTATCACAAAAAGGTAGGCGAAATGTACGTGAATGCTTCATAAGCTTCATAAATGTGTCGTAAATCGGGATAAAACATAATGTACTCTACATATGTATATATATATAAATATATATATATATGTATGTATATATATAATATATATATACATATATAGAGCGAGAGAGAAAATCATAGTTTACCATAGTTCACCAAGCTGAAAAAAATAAGGCTAGGATGATTCCCCTCCATTTCCCATCAAGGGCCCCGATCAATCACCACAGCCAACGGGGCCAAAAGACCGATTCCATAGAGATCGGTGCCCTTCAGCTTTCCAAGGTGAGCATGGTTCTAAGGCGGCTGTGGATGTATTGATTTCACCATATTTCAGGGACCATATTTATTGGGTGAACCAATTGCTATGGCATGGACCTACTCAATGTTTAAAAATTCATGGGATTTTTCGTAGGATTTGAATGGGATTT